GTGTTCAGGATGATTTGGTGTTCAGCTTATTTGTGGATTTAGTGATCAGTGTTTGGGTTTAAAAATGGCCGGCTGCTACCATGATGTCTTCACCTTCTGTGGACGGTAGCGACCTGGAAGCTAATGCTTCAGGGGCTGGGTTATGGCCATCATGGGAAACAGAAGAGTGAGGAGGTTGTGGGTAAAATCAGTTTTCTCATCACAGATCTTAGCATTATTCTAGCTTTGGCATTCCTTCCTAATGACGCGCTGCAGTGGTGTCACAGTTTAAAAAGCCTCCCTCTGCCTGGCTCTCAGATGAACCTTCGCTCAGTGTTCACGGCCGAACAGCAGAGGATCCTGGAACGCTACTATGACAACGGGATGACCAATCAGAGCAAGGCCTGCTTCCAGCTCATCCTGCAGTGCGCTCAAGAGGCCAAGTTGGACTTCAGCGTCGTTCGGGTACTTTTTAATGCTTTGTTTCAACATCTTTTTAATGTTTTTGTTATTATTTTACTATCCCCCTATTGTGTTGAGTTGTTTGTTTCATGATGATCGTGTTTGGATGATGCTTCCTGAAAGGCGGTCTCTGTTTCCCGCAGACATGGGTCGGCAACAAGAGAAGAAAGCTGGCCTCCAAGGTTGAGCAGAATGGAAGCGCGTCTCATTCCTTGTCCAGTCACGGATTAGTGGGAGGGTTACTGTCCAGTCCCACGCTGGCTGGAGGGGTGCTGTCCAATCACAGCCTTGGGACGGGGGCGCTGCTTCCTGCTGATCTAGCCGCCGCCCGGAACATCCAGAACCGCCTGCACCTCCTCCCCCCATCCTCGTCTTTTCCCGCTCTCTCCTCAGCGTCTTCCTCCCCCTCATCATCCTCACCTCTCAGCAGCGGAAACAACAAAAGTAATAATGATGTGATACTGACTGGGATTTACTCTCTAAACTCTGTCCCTCGCTCCCGACCGAGACCCTCAGCCGCCCCATCTCAGTCAGACTCGGAGCTTTCCATCCGCTCCTCTTCCTCTCTGATCACCCAGGCTCTGCAGAGCAGAAGCACTTCCACATCCTCACCCATCCACCCCAAAATAATGACCCCGCCCTCTCAGACTCTCCCGTCACTCACGTCTGCCTCAGGACCCTTAGTCTACACTGCAGTCAGAAAGGGCACTTTATCCAGTGGGGAAGGGGGGGTAAGTGCTGGGACAGGACCAGTACCCCACAGCTGGACTAGACAATACGGTACAGTACAAGCTCGGCCTTGGCCGTCCTCTTCTTCACAGACTGGAGCTCAGCTTCAGCCCAGACCTCACTCCAACCCACAACCTCAGCCTCCTGCACCGCAAAAGCCTCGGGCCCCCCTCCCAGCCCAGAACGCCAGCCCCTCTTCTGAGATGGCCCCTCGGATTCATCAAGTCTTCACCCTGTCAGGAAAGTCTGACTCAGAGCGGCCAAGATCCGGGCAGGCATCTGCTCTGAGAAGCCAGGAATCCTTCAGACCCACTCCTCTCCCTCTGGACGCAGGTCATAACTTCTCCATCGCCATGGAAACAGGAAACGAAGAGGACGAATGGCTGAGGGAGGAGGAGCTGGCCAACATGGCCGCCCAGACACACATCTACAGGGAGCAGGCGCTGAGCAGCCCGGTGGGGGCTGAGGGCTCCATGGTCAAAGGAAACCACACTCCTGCTGCGGCTGGCTCCAGATCAGCAGCGCATCCCAGCAGCCCAGCGCATCCCAGCAGCCCAACGCATCCCAGCAGCGCGGCGCTCCAGGGCAGCGCGGCGCTCCAGAGCAGCGCAGCGCATCCCAGCAGCGCGGCGCTCCAGGGCAGCGCGGCGCTCCAGGGCAGCTATTCCCTCACAGTACAGACCTCCATCACAGGGGAGACCAGCTCACAGGTAGGACACCTTCTGGTTTCACGGTCTTTAAAAGCTGAAGAGTATTTTAAGGTGCGTGTCTTTAAACAGGCTTCGCCCGCCGTGTCTGCTGCTCCGTGGGTGATCAACAGCTCCAGGAAGAGAACAGTAAGTATTGGAGCAGCTTTTCTAACCTGGTTTATGGTCTGGGAAATTCCAAAAAAAACATCTGAGTCCTAAATCTGGTTTGAGATGCATGAGGAGCGAGTCCAGACTAGGGATGGGACGATTTATGAAAACCGTCAGAATCGTTCGGTTCGACTGTCTCGGTTCGGTTCGCGT